AGCGGCACAGCCCCCTCACCCGCAGCCCCGGGCCACTGTGGGCTTCCCTGCTGCCGGTGCTGCCAGCCTGGAGGCGCCTGCCCTGCCCACCCGCCCCAGGAAGCTCAGTGGCGCGGGAATATTTGCGTTAAATGCCACATTTATTTCAGAACCGAACAAGCCTCATGTGCGCATGGACGGCCAGGACCCGAGGCACCAACCCCCGGGCAAGGGCAGGGAGGGCCCAGGGACGCCGCCATCGTCGGCAGGAACCAGAGGGCATGAAGGGCAGCCTCCCTCCTCTGCAGGCCCCCAGCCTGCCTGCCAGTGCTCGCCCACCCTCCACACCACCATTCCCCTGTGAAATTTCCCTTCTGATGGGGCTCACAGTCATGCCTAAATCTCAGGTTTGCGTTCCTTGTCCCAGGGGGCTGTGGTGGTAGAGGGGATGGGTGGACAGGGGCCTGACCAGGGGAGCGTGTGGTGCTGGCAAAAGTGGAGCCAGTAAGATGGCAGGGGTAGCCCGTGAGCTGGGGACATCCCACAGGGATGCTGCAAGCATCCACTGAGCAGCCATGTCTCCCTTGGCCCCAAGCATGGCGGCCCCCAGCCGAGCCGTCTGCTCTGCAGGTTTGCTGGCCTCAGGCATGCTTCGGCTCCGCCTGGAGGACACCCGTCCCACGGCCGCCCCTCACCTGCGGCACAGGCAGCACCACCCAGCCGTGGCTGGTGAACCCATGTCTGGTCCCTGGCAGACACGGGTCCTGTCTGCCACAAGCTGCCTCTGCCCTGGAAGAGCCTCCCCTCTCTCCTGGGACACCCAGCGTTTCCATCCCTAGCCCCTTATGTTGAAATCTGGGATGGTACCAACTAGTCCTTGCCCAGGGCACAGGAGACGGGATGTCGCAGCCCAGGCCCCTGCTTTGTCCCGGCCGCAGGTCTGCCCCTCTGCGCCCCTGGGCGGGCACCTCTCCCTCCATAAAGGGCACAAGTCAGCCTCCAGGTCTCTAAAATGGATCACAGGGGGGAAAAAAAACCAGTTTGATGGGGAGCTTCTCCTGGGCAGGCAAGCTGCCGCCTGCCCGGGGAGTGGGGCTGGGAGGAGCAGCCCCGCCACGGCTTCAGGCCGGAGCAATAGGGCGAGACACCCAAGGAGCTGCGGCGAGGCTGGGCAGAACTGGCAGAGGCTCAGAAAGGATCCCAAAACCCTTTCCGTGACCTGAAACCCAAGCTGAACGGCACCTGATGTGCAGCAAAGGGGTCCCTGCAAGCCTCTGCCTGCCTGCCATGTCCCTACCTGTCCGTGTCCCCCACAACAGGAGCATAACAAGGAGAAGACAGCACCACATCTGACACCACCCCCCCACACACACACACACATACCCACA